GCAAACAAAAGCCTTTTTGCCTTTTAGATTTCCTAATGCCTTGTCAATAGCTCGTTGATAAGTACTTGGTGAATTAACGTAACCAAATGGCACTCTGTTCCACTCGTATAGTCCATCTGGTGTTACAAAAGCTGTAATATGCCTGGAAGACTCATCAATTTCCATTTGGTGGAAGCCGGATCTCATATCTAAGGTTGTGAAGTATCTTGCGTGGCATAAGGCATTAAGTTGGTCATATCTTTCCTTAACCACTTTTTTGTTTAGATCACGGTAATCCACTTTCGCGAATTATTTTGTCCTTTAAAAGTTCACTTATAATATTCGCGACTTGAATCCGCTCCTGGTATGCTAATCGGCGAGGACGATATACCACTGGAGTACTGTCTTTCAAAGTGATTGTCATTTTTTGCAGTTAAAATATGATCAGGCGTTTTAGCCCTATATTTCACCAACAGCTTTTCTACATACAACTTTAAGTCAGTACCTAAATTATTGGGTAGATTAACTTTAATTTCAGGTGCACACTGTCCAACGAGAACTTTTTGAATCGGGCACAGTTGATATTGTAACTCAAGTCCGGTACTGTCTTTCACTATCTGCACAAAAGGCCGACTTTTAATGTCCCAGCCAATAATAATGTCCAACTCGCCCGGAATCACTTTATCCGGTACCACGGCGAAGTTAATCTCTAATGTTATTGTAGACAAAACAAATATCAACTCACAAACACCGACTGGATAAATGATTTGGTTTCCGAATCCTACGAAAGCACACACGTCACGATTTGGTTTTATTTTACCGTCCAGGGCAAGAACTACGGAATGTTTTATAATTGACCGCTCAGCACCTGTATCGATGAGATACGTGAATGAAAGCGCTTTTTCTTCGCATAAAATGGAGGCTATCGGTGTTGTTGACAGATGGCGTCATTTCCTCATCAACAACGCTTTTTTAGGCTTCCCATGCTTCAGCCAACAGTTAACGTCAGTGTGACCCATTTTCTTACAGAAATCACATACAGGAACATTTGCCTTGTCGTTGGTAGGGGTTGACGCACTCTTAAGAAATGTTTCAACGGGCTCTGCACTTTTCTGATTCTGGACCAATCGGCATTTGCTTTGATGGTGTCCAAGCCGGCCGCATTTGAAGCATTTACTAGTCGATGGTTCAAAACGCACGACCTTTGGATCGTATCTTTCTTTTATCCTTCGTTCCCCTCGTTTTTCGGCGCTAATCTTGAGCGATCTTGCACGGCGGGCATCAAACTCGCTGAGCAATACTAATAAGTCACGTTCGGATGTTGGCTTTTGCACACGGATTGCGGAACGGGCTTCGGAGTGTTCCAATCCATACTCAACCATGCTAAGAATAATAGGCCTGTTCGCACAGCAATCACAAACCAGTCAGAGCGAATTTCATTGGTTGAAAACAATCAGAAACAGTTGGAAAACTAGTTTCAACCAATGAGATTCACTCTGACTGGTTTGTGATTTCTCTGCGAACAGACCTAATATTCCATGGTAGCTGATTATAAAACCGGTTAATTGAACGTAGTTTTTGGTTACCATAATCAGATAATGATTCACAGTCTCGGCTACTTAGGGTTGCAGCGATATGTGCACGGGTGCCAGGGGTTTCACGATCAGGAAATGCAACAATAAGATCATTGCAGAAATTGTCCCATGTCCTTGAAAGGGGCCTCAAATCACGATAATAATGGTATCCCCGATACTTCAAAGCATTGCCAGCTTTGCTAATCATTAAAATATCGCTGACTTTGAGTTCTTTCTTTAATTTTGAACAATCTTCAAGCCATTCATTGATTGGGTAAGAACTTTTATCAGGGTCATAGCTCGTGATCTCAAAAGAAGGCACTTGTGAACTCGAGGTCTCCATTCCTGAGTCACTAGGCGTTGGCTGCAACGGTGACGCCACGCTCTTTGTTTGACTTGTTAATAAGGCAATTTGTTTCTGCTGGTTGGCCACTAAGTTGACGAGTGTTTCCTGCCACTGAACCCTAGGACGCTTTTTACCAAATGGCAGAGTTTTTGTCTGCTCAAAATCACTGTTTTCGCAATCACTAACGATTTTGCCTTCTTCTGCCATTTTTTCTTTTTATTTTGCAGACCCGTCTGGGGAATAAATCACTTTTGAACTTCCGACGAGCAATCCAATGGACAAGAGTCGATCCCACTTCTGATGATAACAACTTTATTAACTTTATTGCACAAATAAAAATACTATTTTTTTTACAAAACAATAGCCCGTAAATAAAACAAAGTTGCTAAGCAATAATCGGTACGGCCAGCTATTGACTTTCACTTTTTGCCGTATTGATTGACTCGATGACGGCAGGGCTCGGCTATCCTTCTTTAACACACCTGAGATGTGTTCGGTTAGTTAGGTAATTTCGTTTAGTTAGGTGACTTCGGTTAGGTTAGGTGATTTCGATTTTCCTGTTTGCTATCATATACAGGGTGTCCCAAAAAGATACCGACAAAGTTTAAGGGGTAGTAGGGGACATCAAAACAAGCATTTTTGTTTATATAAACATATGTCCGCAAATGAGCAATTTGGGCTGTAGAGCAAAAAAACTGTTTGGTATCTAGTTTAATTCTTCACAATAATTAAATCACTGTTTACTTATCAATTTTGGAGATTCTTGGTTTGCTTCATGTGGCAAATTTCTATACGCTAAAAGACAAAAGGGTAGCATCGACGTAATGACTTGAATCGTGAATCATCGTTTTTATGGTTTTGTGAAACCGTTCTATTATTCCATTGGCACTTGGGTGGTAACGTTTCAATTTCAAGAATAGTGCAGTAATGAACTTACTGAGAAATTGGGTTCCACAATCGGTTAGTATTTCTCGTGGAACTCCGAAACGGCATATAATCTTTTCGACGAAAGCTTTTGCCACCGTTTCGGCCTTGATGTCAGGAATTGGAATACATTCTGGATACCTTGTCAAATAATCTATACAGGTCAACATGTATCGATTTCCATTATTAGTTTTGTTTAATGGTCCTACTATATCCATACTTATGCGTCCCCACAGACTTTTTGGTACAAAGTTGTGTTGCTATATCACTGGTGGTCGATAATTCGTCTTGTGTAAGCTACATAATAAACACGAACTCCTTATCGTCTTTACTTATAGATGACCAATAGAAATCCTTTTCTGTTCTTTCTTTTGTCTTTTTCTGACCAGGGTGACCTGAATAAATAGCGTTGTGATAAATTCGCAGAATTTCTGGAATATTTTCTTAGAACCTAGTATTTTGTCAGTTCGCTGCCACTCTTCTCTCTGTTTATATATAATACCGTCGTCAATAAAATACAGGGAATTCTCATCATCCAAATTTTCCTTTATTCGGTCTATCGACTCATCTTCCTGTTACAATTTCTGTATTTCTTCTTTTGTCCAAATTGCAGATGATACAGGTCTCAGCTCTTGTCCTCTAGTAACGACAGCTATCACGGGTGGTTCCCTTTCTTCATTTTCGTCATTTTCTACACGTAAGCGAGTTAATGCATCCACATTGCTGTTTAGATTTCCTTTTCTGTACTGAATCGTAAAACTGTATCCCATAAGAAACATAGCCCACTTGGCTAATCTTGAGCTTGCGTCTTTAATTATCAATAAATCTGCAGGGTTTCTTTTTCCTTCTTGGCATGCTCAATTTCCGCTTTGCATGCTCTTGCAATTACAGATCTACTCTTTAGAGTGAATTCCTTCTCTGTTTCATTCAATAACCTCACTGGACCTACACTGTCCTTCTTACACAAAACACGTGCCACTAGCAATCCTGACAAAGCTGCTTCACATTGTTCGATACCTATGTGCTGAACCTTAACCCTTGAAGCTCTGCGTAGAGTTGCTTGACACACTACTTGACTCATCGGCGGTATCACCTCTTCTCTCAGAGTCACCAGAATACCATCTTGGTATCTGAATTCCATGTCCTTTACTGGACCTTCATTAGAATTCCTTTCTGATGAAACCTTAAAATTATGTCGGAATTTCCCTGGAAGTTCACTGTCCTTCCTCTCCAAAACTGGTGCTACTGGCAAGCCTGTCAAAACTTCATCACATTGTTTAATGTGTTGAGCCTTCAGCCCTTGAAATTCCGCGTAGGGTTCCATGGTACACTTCATCATCATCGGCGGTATAATAACCTTCTATCCCAGAGACGCCGGAAAACCTTCTGCCATCATTCAACACAATCTCATTCCTCACTGAACCTCTTCGCGAATTTTATCCGGACTGACTCAATAATCATACTGTAGACTCAAGACTCTAAAGCTGAACTGAAAACTGACTGCTTAAGATTTAGGCTGCCTCAAAAATTCCGAAACCGTTGTTTTTATATTTTTTGTTCCTCCCAAAATATTTCAGGGCCACTTAACACAACACTGGCCATTGACGGTTCTTTTTTTTTCTAAGAAATATATTTCTTTGTTTAAAACCGAATATGTCGTAATTTCCTGGATTATCGGGGTCAACAGATTCGGTATAAGAATGTGAGGACATATAAATCAATAAATCAAAGGATGCCGAAACTCGTGTTGGCCGTAAATCACCAATTTAATAACTTTTGCCTTGATTGCCTTGATTTTCATATTTTTATGGATTTTTTTCTGCGGGTGCAAGAACCTGTCGTAGCAATGACTGTCTGGCTTGTCATTGTCTATTATTTCGATTTGATGACACGCGCTTGATGACTAACTAATAAAATTTGAACGTATTTTGAATATTTTAATTGATTTGGGTCAATGCTAATTTGTTTCATTTTCAATTTATTGATATCTACTGATTTGAAATACTGAAAATTCAATTTTTGATTATTCGATTACATTTAAATTAAATGTTGTTGCATTTTTTTAAGACATTGTAAATTACGGGTCTATTTTTCCCGGGTCATTACAGTAGTTATCATAATAGATCTGGATTACACACATCTATTCACAAATTCATTTCACAATTACTTCGTTCTAGGGCCTCCAACTCCAAAGAAAACCATTGAAAATAAAACAAATGGTGAAACCAAAGCTCCATTAAAGCCATCGCCAAGTGCCACGCCGGCCAAAAGCACCAAAGATGCCAATAATCGTAAAGTGATTGAAAGCAAGAAAGCACCAGTCAAAAAAGAACCAGTGCCAAAAGCTGCACCAGTCGAGGTCAAAGCTAAACCTGAACGTAAACCTATTTCTAGACGACCTAAGGCTATCAAAGGGCCACCAAGCCCTATGAAGAAGGTATTCCTAATAATTCTAGTTTACTCTTTAAATCTCAAGCTTATTTTGTAGATGTCAAATGGTATTCAAAAGCCCGATTCCTTGTCAAAACGTGGCAAGTTGGATAAAGAAGGTACCACCGATTCAAGTACAGTCAGTACTCCCTCAGCTGAACAAGACAGCATTTTGAAAAAAGACATTTCAAAGCTGACGCCAGAAGAATTCGAACAACTCAAAGTAAAAGAATTGGAAGAGCTCAAAGAAGAACAAGAAGCCGTTAAGGAAATCGAAGCTGTCTTCAGAAAAGGTGAAACACGTACCGAAGCATCTGAACCAGGTGTTAGAAAAATCAAGGAAATGTCTATAGATGATAATATAGATACTGAAGAGTACCTTATCATTGAGAAAGAAGAAGTAGAACACGACTCGTTGGACCAAAACGAAGACGAAATGCAAAAGCTAGTAAGGGATAGCGAAGAGTCCGAAAAACAACGTAAATTAAGCGGCGAAGAAGAAAAACTTAAAATTGAATCCCAAGAACAGAAAATTGTTGAAGTTGACGAGCCAACAAAAACTCCTGAAGAACTCGATGCGAAGAAGCCAGAAGCTGACAAAAAAGAACTCACCGAAGAAGAAAATAAAGAAATCGTGGAGTCTCATCCTGAAGAAAAAGTTTCAGCAAATATTGAATCTGGAGCTACAACCACTGCACCCACTCTTCCTGAAGACGAGCGTATGACTCTTGACGAAATTAAAGAAGACATTAAACAAGTGGTCGAAGAGAAACACGTGAAAGAAGAAACCAAAGAAAAAGAAATTCCCATTATTCAATTACCACAAAAAAGCCAGCATGACAGTCCATCCAAACCACATCCAGTCGTAGGCATTCCATTGGACAAACAAAAACACGTTAGAGATATTGTAAAGACTCCCGATGAGGTTGCAGACTTGCCTGTTCACGAAGAAGCTGACTATCAGGAATTTCAAGATGATAAAAAGAGTAACGAAGTGACTGACAAAGAAGGTGGAAAGAAAGAGGAAAAGGAAACCGATGATGTTGAAGATAAAGTTAAGCTTGATGAAACTAAAAAAGGATCTGAAGTAATTGAGAAGAAAAAAGAAACCGGAGATGTTGAGCCTGTAGCAATGCATGGCGAAGAAGCTAAAAAAGAATCTGAAGTAATTGAAATAGAAGGGAAAGAGGAAAAGGGAGATGTTGTTAAAGCTGAAGGTGAAGAATCTAAAAAAGTACCTCAAGATGAAAAACAAACAGACAAAGATGTTGAAGCACCCAAACATGTAGCCAAAGAAATTCCAATTGAATCAAATAAAGTTGAAAGTGATAGCAAATTGAATGACTCTGTGATTAGTGTTAGTCAAAAGACTGAGGAAATCGAAAAAAGTGATATTTTAGAAAAAGCCGATATAGAAACCAATGAAGATGCTGTCATTGTGCAAGAAGAAAAACTTAAAGAGAGCATGGACGAGGAATGGGTTGTAATCAGTAAAGACAAAGAGGAAGACGAAATCGCCGAAGAAGCTGACAAAGTTTTACAAGTTAAAGAACAAACTAAAAAAGAAACTATCGTTTCTGATTTCATATCCAAAGAAGTTGAACATGAAGAACAAACCGCCGAGCGTGCGGCTACAGCTAAACCTGATTTTTCATTACCTCTGGTACCAGCAGCTGATTTCAAATCAGAAAAAGAAATGGAGACAACAACTACCGAGTCCAGTAGCCACGAGTTACGTAAAGGAGATGAAGTGGAAAATGTAAGTAGTGATAAAGAAAAGGATGACATTCAGGCCCTTATCGAGGAAGCTGACAAAAGGCCAATGGAAGATACTATCGTTGAGAGAAAAGACGAAGAGAAAATTAACGAAATCAAAGAAACCAAACATGTAATTTCTGAAATAGACACCAAACTTCAAGACCTCAAAAAGGAAGTATCTGTGCCTGTGGAAGAAATTAAGTTGGACAAAGGTGAAAAGGACTTAACCAAAATCGAAGAACCTGGCGAGTCTGACACCAAACCGAAATTAGATGACATTACCAAAATTGATACTGAGCTTATTGAGTTAAATGGTCAAACAGAAGAGGTCATTGTTATTGGTAAGTCTACTAAAGTTACGAATCATACTGATTCAGCTGAAATCGTTGAAACATCCTCTGATCATGCAGAGCCAGCAATCACCGAAAAAGCTGAAGTCTTCGTAAAAAAATCCACAAGAAGTCCTGAACATGCAGAATCAGTAGTTCTGCCTGATTCTTCTCCAGAAGACGATGGACCACTTGTGCTTAAAGCTTTAGACATTGACAAATTAGAATTGGGACGTAAGTCCCCAGCAGAAAGAGAAGATGATGTTCAACTTATCGTTGCCAGCGTAGCAGAAGTACTCAAATCAGAAGCACCTTTGGAGGAGTTTGCAAGTAAGCTACCTTTTACACAAGAACTAAGAGAGACTCATATAACTACTCAAGATTCACCTATTGTGGAATCTAAAAGTATCAAACCCGAAGATATTATACCTCCAATTCCTGAAGAACCTCATGAAGAAGAAATGAATGGTGTTAAAGAAGACGACGAGTCGGGTACAGTTCATCGAATGTTAGTGACAACATCTAGTGAAGATGGAGGTGAAGAAATCGAAATATGCCCTGCAGGGACTATCACTTTCTCGAAAAGCTCTGAAAGTTCTGGCAGATCATCTCCAGAACCATCACAAAAGACTCAGTCTCAAAAATCATCAATTGTTGAAACTTTATCTGACACTCTTTCAACTGTGAAACAAGTAGCTGAAACTGGTGGAAAAGTTGAAGCTCCTAGTGTTGTTAATGGGGCGTTCCAAGTGGTAGAAGAGTTGGAGGAAAAAGTGGATAATTTAAAAGACGAAATTGAGAAATCTGAAGCCAGAAATGTTGATGATAAAGTTGGTAAAGCGCATGACGTAGGGATGGTTAAGAGCGAAGAGATTAAATCTGCAGATGTAATACCAGTTGATGCCAAACTCGAAAAAGAAGCTGAGATTGACAAAGAAAAAGTTAAATTGGATAAAAAAGACTATACCGAAGCTAAGATTAAACCTGAATCTGATGAAGACGCAGAAATGGTTCCTGAAGTTTTCATTGGAAAAAGTTCAGAGAAGCCCAAAGACAAAGTTGAAGCCAAACCAGCATCTTCTGAGAAAGAAAAGGTTACTGCAGAAGATGAAACTGCTAAGCATGATGTAGTTTGCAAAGAACCAGCCGGAAAGGAAGAACTAGCTGAGGCTACAGAAGAAAAAGGTGGGGAAATACCTAGTAAGCTTAAAGAAGAAAAAGAAGTTACTGAAAAAGAAACCAAAGAAACTCCTAAAGATGTTACAGCTGAGCCAAAGGAAGCTGCTACAAAAGATATTGAAGCTGAAAAGCAAGATGAGAAACTGCTAGAGGCATCTAAAAGTGACACTTCACCAAAATCTCCTGAAAAAAAATTGGAGGAAATTCATGATACTCAGAAAAAGGAAACTGATGGAACAAGTGACATCAGCAAAACTGTAGATCAGCTAGAGAAGGATGTTAAAGATGCTCAGCAAAAAATCATTGAAAAAGCAAGTGAAGATATTGAAAAAGTCTCTGATGCTATTGCCGAAACAAAAACTGAAGTCTCCGACAAAATCACAGGTACCATATCAGGCATATTTGATAAAATTGAACAGCATGTTGAAACTGCAGCAGCACCTTCGGAAAGTTCTTCTGCAAAGCTTGACGATTCACAACCAGAAACCAATTATCAATCAATACATAAAGATGAGAGTGAAGATGTTGAAGTACCTATACCAAAAAGGCGGCAGAGCATAATTGAGAAAACTCAAGATTTTATCGAGACATCTGGAGAGGCTTTTGAAGGTGTTTTGAGCTACATAACTACCAAGGCACATTCTGTTTTGGACGACATTATCAAATCAGATATAGACTCAAACAAATTATCAGGAGAATCGACTCCGGAATCCAAAGAATTGAAAGATTCTACCAAGTTATCTTCACTGCACCTGTCTGATGTGGATAAGTCCAGAAAGTCTACACCAGACTTGAAAGAGTCCAAAGAATCATCTGGAAAATCAACTCCGGATCCCAAAGAAATTGTTTCAGGAACAATTAAACTTGATTCACAAACGCTATCTCAAGAAGCGTCTTCAGCATTATCTAGAAAATCCACTCCAGAACCCAAGGAAGTAGTTCCAGACACAAAAAGAGATTCTATCGATATTCATAAATCATCTGTAGTCGGTCATATTCATGCATCACCAACTCTATCAGGAAAATCAACTCCAGATCCCAAAGAATCCATTGTTGATTCAAGGGAAGCCAGTATCGATTCCAAGGCTCATAAAGCTTTGTCTGGAAAATCAACTCCAGAGCCCAAGGAAATGAAGGAAGTGGATCCAGACCCAAAAAGAGATTCTATCGATATCCATAAATCATCTGTAGTCGGTCATATTCATGCATCACCAACTCTATCGGGGAAATCAACTCCAGATCCCAAAGAATCCATTGTTGATTCAAGGAAAGCCAGTATCGATTCCAAAGCTCATAAAGATCTGTCTGGAAAATCAACTCCAGAGGCTAAAGATATTGATACCGAGAAATTATCAAAAGATGATGCTCTATCTGGAAAGGCTACTCCAGAACCACAGATACAAGATCTAAAAAGAGACAGTCTGTCTGGAAAATCAACTCCTGAAAAAATTGCCACAAAGCACACCGAAGATTTGATCTCCGATTCGAGGAAATTATCTGTTGATCACAAACAAAAGTCTCCTGAGGTATCTGGAAAATCTACTCCAGAAAAAGTTGCTACAAAGGACACCGAAGATGTTATCTCTGATTCGAGGAAATTATCTGTTGATCACAAAGAAAAAGCTCCTGAGATATCTGGAAAATCTACTCCAGAAAAAATTGCTACGAAGGACACCGAAGATGTAATCTCTGATTCGAGGAAATTATCTGTCGATCATAGAGAAAAGTCTCCTGAGGTATCTAGAAAATCTACTCCAGAAAAAATTGCTACAAAGGACACCGAAGATGTTATCTCTGATTCGAGGAAATTATCTGTTGATCATAAAGGAAAAGCTCCTGAGGTATCTGGAAAATCTACTCCAGAAAAAATTGCTACTAAGGACACCGCAGATTTTATCTCTGATTCGAGAAAATTATCTGTTGATCACAAAGAAAATGCTCCTGAGGTATCTGGAAAATCTACTCCAGAAAAGATTGCTACAAAGGACACCGAAAATGTGATCTCTGATTCGAGGAAATTATCTGTTGATCATAAACAACAGTCTCCTGAGATATCTGGAAAGTCCACTCCAGAAAAAATTGCTACAAAGGACACCGAAGATTTAATCTCTGATTCGAGGAAATTATCTGTTGATCACAAACAAAAGTCTCCTGAGATATCTGGCAAATCTACTCCAGAATTGAAGGAAGCAAAAGATGTAGTTGAAGACGCAAAGAAGGATACTGAGGATGATTCGAAGGCATCTACACAGGACAAAGTTGACTTGTCTCCTATTGCATCTGGAAAATCTACTCCAGTGCCCAAAGAAGTGATTGTAGAAACTAAGAAAGATGCGAAAGATGTAGTTGAAGATGCAAAAAAGGATTCCAAAGATTTAATATCGGATTCAAACATATTAAATGGAGAAGGTCGTGTCGACTCACCTGCAGCTTTGTCTGGGAAGTCCACTCCAGAACCGAACGCACTAGTAGCAGACATCACAAAAGATTCTAAAGACTCGATTGAAACGAAAGATACAACACATGTAGCTGAAAATGCAAAGAAAGATGTGGAAGATTTAATATCGGATTCAAAGATAATATCTGCAGGAGGTCACAGCGACGCATCTAGACAATCTACTCTAGAACTCAAGGAAGTCGTTGACGATTCCAAGAAAGATTCCAAAGAATCAATTGAACCAAAAGATGAGAAAAAAGACACCAAAGATTCAGTATCCGATTCAAAGATATTGCCTGTGCAAGATCACATTGATGCATCCCCAGTCTTGTCTGGAAAGTCCACACCAGAATCCAAAGAAGTAGTTGCAGCCATCAAAAGTGATGTTAACGGCTTAGTTTTGTCTGGAAAATCTACTCCAGAGCCCAAAGAAATCGTTGCAGGTACCAGGAAAGATTCCAAAGCCTCACTTGAACTCAAAGACTCTAAAGATTCAAAATCGGATTTAAAAATATTATCTGCAGAAGGTCACAGTGATGTGCCTTCAGCTTTATCTGGAAAATCTACTCCAGAACCGATACAAGTTAAGGCAGACACCAAACCCGAAACTAAAGATTCAGTTGATTCCAAAACACTCCTGGAATCGACTCTGTTACTCAAAGAATCAAAAGATTTTGAAGATGCAATTAAGGACACTGAAGATATCATTAAATTATCCAAAGAATCTCTTGCTTCTTTATCTGGAAAAACTAGTACCGTGAACGATTTGGGTGATTCCAAACAACTGGCCGGAAGTGAACACATTGATGGGTCTCCAGCTGTATCCAGAAAATCTTCAGAAGCAATTGAGGCCACTAAGCTATCCGAACAATCTCCTGTTTTGTCTGGAAAATCTTCTCCAGAACCCAAGAAATTATCAGGGCAATCTTCTCCATCTCCTTCACATGATCATGTTGATACTCCTCTAGCTAAATCTACTAAATCCACTGTGGAGCAAAAAGATTTGGACGCAGAATCTAAGAAAGATGAAGCCAAAGAAGTCATGGCAACAAAAGAAGAAAGAAGAGAAAGTATCATTGAAGCTGCTGAAGAATTTATTGAAAAATCAGAAAAAGCTTTGGGTTCAATGTTTTCTGTTATTGGTGGTGCAGCTAAATCAGTTTTAGATGATATTTGGGCTGATACTAACAAAGAGAAAGAAGATAAAGCTAGCGATGAGAAAGATAAAGTTAAGGAAGCATTTGAAGCTAAACATACAGTTGAAGAATCTGGGTTTATTAAATCTGGAAAAAGTATTGATGCCTCTAAAAATATTGAAAAAGAGAAAGATCAGCTTCAGGGTGAACTTAAAGTTGACAAAGATGTTGCTGAAACTGAAAAGAAACAAACTATTTCAGAAGAATTTAAGGTAAACAAAGAAACTATTGAAAAGGAAGAAAAAGAAATTGAAGATAAAGTGATGCATATTTCGGAAACTTTGGAGAAAGTTTCTGAACTTGCTCAATCAGTTTCATTTGAAACTTGTCAATCAATTAAAGGTGGAGCAGAGACAGAGGTAATTGAAAAAGAAGAAATGCAGCTTGGTAAACAAGCAGAAAAACTGAAAGATAGCTCTGAAGATTTATCAAAACTAAATGGATCGGTAACATTCGAAAAGTGTCACCCTTCTGAAGAGTATCAAGTTGATAAAGAAACTGTTAGTAAAGTTGAAAAGAAAATAGAAGACCAAGCGACGCATTTATCAGAAACTGTAGAAGAAGTATCAGAGCTTGCTAAATCTATATCATTTGAAAAATGCCATCAAAAATCCGACAGTGTCAGTGAAAAAATGGATCAAGCCAAGCCGGATGAAAGCTATCATTTGGATGAAGCTAAAGTAGATAAAGATGTTGCCGAAAAAGAAAAATCTTCCAAATCTGTCGAACAGATGAAAGCTGTCGAATCCAAAGTTGACAAAGATATTTTAGAAAAAGAAGCGACACCTTCATTTGAAATTTCCAAAGAAGCGAAGGAAAAAGATGAAAAGATAATTGATGATCAAGTGAAACGTGTATCAGAAACTGCTGAAAGTCTTTCTAACCTTGCCAAAGCGGCTTCTTTTGAAAAATGTACGCCCCCTGAAGAATTTAATGCTAATAAAGACGCGATTGAAAAGCAAGAGAAGAAAATTGAAGCTGAGGTATCACAAATAAAGGATAATGTTGATGATTTGGATAAACTTACTAAATCAGTTTCATTTGATAAGTGCAAGCTTAAAGATGATGTTAAAGAACATAAAGATGAAAAAGTTAATGATGAAGCTAAATCTGTTGAGAATGTAGATTCTAATAAAGTTGAGCATCTAAAACAGGACAAAGAATCAAGCTCGAAACTTGAAACTGATGCATGCAAACTTACTATAACTACAAAGTCAGAACAAATTTCTCAAGCCAAAGAGTCTATAGTATTAGAGGTTCACCCGATTTCTAGTCAAACGGAAAAATGCGAAAAGGAGAGCATGGAAAAGACTTCATCTAGTCTTAAAATAACCCAAGAACCTAAAAAACTGTCTATCTCTGACGTTGAAATTAGTATTAAGACTGATATTGATCACAAGGATGCTATTAGTAGCTTCTTGGATAATGAGAGAGCAGTTTTTTGTGATAGTACTGACGCCAAAGTTTATATAGCCCCTAAGGAAGTAGAAGATTCTTCTGTTGTAGAGGCTGCTAGTGTTAAATCAAGCCCCGAAATTGAAATTTCTGGAAAAGCTACACCACCTACACAACCAGTCAGCCCTGTTGTAACCAAAGATATACAAAAATCACCTTCATCGAAACTGGATAGTGGTTTAAGTGAACAAACTGGTAAGAATCTTTGGTTGTATTTGTTGAAATATTGCATAGTGTTTTATAGAAACTGACGAAGAAGACTTGAGTACCAAATCCCAAATAGCACATTCTCAATCTGATTTAGATGAGCTTGACATGAAAATGGATCCTATGAGTATGTCGTTTTATGGTGCTTTACCAGAAGAACATGAAGGTGAAGCTGCTGCTCCAACTTATTTGTATGAAATAACTAAAGCTAAATACGGGGCTGATGTTAAGCTTGAAGAAGAAGCTGAAAAGGAAGATGATGGGTTAATGACTGCTAGTTTTATTGGTGAGAGTTTTTACAAAAATATTATAAATAATATTTTAACATAATATTTTCAGGTGATCTTCCTTCATCATCTACAGTTGCCGATAAGTCCAAAAAAGATGCTGTAGACTCTTGGGGCAAGCCTTTAGGTCTTCCAGCCCCGACTTACCTCTATGAAGTAACCAAAGCCAAATTCTCATCTCAATCCCATGAAGCTGACATAATGACTTCAAGCTTTATTGGTGAATTACCAACATCGGTTCAAGATCCGATGACGGCAAGCGTCTACTTTGGTGGTGAAGTTTCTGACGAGAGTTTCGATCCGATAGCATCTTGGGGAAAACCTTTAGGGCTTCCCAGTCCGGCCCCACCAAACAACGGAACGCCAAAGAAGGAAAAGAAGCTGACAGCTTATGTGTCAGCTAAAAATAAGCTGAACGAGAAACGTGCCGAGTCGCCTTCGAAATTAAAAGCCAAAAAAGTGAATCCTATTTATGTCGATTTGACCTATGTACCTCATCATGGTAATCACTATTATTCCTATGTGGACTTCTTTAGAAGGATCAGGGCTAGGTATTATGTGTTTTCTGGATTGGAACCCAGCAGACAGGTGTACGATGCTTTGCTTGAAGCTAAACAAACTTGGGAGGAGAAAGAATTAGGTAAGTTGTATCATTATCTTTTTAGCCAGAAGTTTTGCAACGGTTCAGGGCATGGACTTTTCTAGTTTGCTGCTTTCTTCAGAGTATCCTTCACTTCGTCTTCTCTATTGTGATGTTTCCTTGTTCCATGCTGCTAGAATTTGTTCCTTTCATTGTATCTTCTGAATCGTTAGGCATATGCTTGAATCTTCTGCTTCATTCTCTCGATTGCTTCTATCGATTCATCATCTTTCATTTTATGCTTCTGAAACAGTCTTGTTTTGATTGGCTCTAGTCTTGGCAGTATTATCTCCTTGGGAGATTTCCATTAACTGGGATATTTCTTTTCTCATGAGTGCTAGTCGATTTTCGATTCTGATTTTCTATTTAGGCTCCTTATTCATGTCTTAATTTCTTTTATATTGCTTTATCTGTAGATATTCTCAGATTACCTTTCCAGCTGCGTATATTAAATTTTACATCTCCCTGATGGACTAGTTGTCTGCTTTTAATGCTATTTGCACCAGTGTTTGATTTGTCTGCTCAATTATTGTTTTTGTCCTTTGGTTCTTGGTAAGTTTATCGTGATCATGGAGGGTTTATAGGGGGGAAGAGTTACGTATAAAAGTTATTCATATACACATTGGTAAGGTAAGTACCTACCTATCTTACACTATTTACGCACACTGTACTCTCTTCACTTTCCATATGTAATCAACCCGAGTGATGAGGAAGTTCTTTTTTGGAAATGTAGCTGATTTTTCTTTGAGAGTCCGCGCAGCTGCTGATTCTGATCCCAAAAGTCACATTACCCTTACTTCTTCTTTGCTTTAGAGTAGCTTGCCCAAATATTTCCAGTCTTTCAGTATAAAGTAGTCCTCTCATTTCGAAAGGAATTCTGGGCTGGGACTCTGTTACGAATGGAGATATTTTCCCTATCTCCATTGACGTCTCCTCTCTATTGATTTCGACAAGAGAGAAGAGAGAGAGAAGAAATAACGATCTCTATCCGTTACAGAGTTCCAGCCCTGGTAATCTGCCTTGGGACCTTTTCCAAAATTTCAATATCTTTGATGTAGTAGGGTTCCAAATACTATATCTGTAGTATTTGGTATAGTTTAGTATATCTCAATTTTTGGTCTGATTAGGAGGCCTTCAACTTCCTCACAATCTGAAGAGAGTTATCTTTAAAAGTCTTTTGCACCATGAAACAAAAAAAAAAGAACTATTGGCCTTTTTCAATATCCTTTTAATATGGGTCTCCCATTTCAGATCACAAGAAATCAGCAAGCCCAGATCCGGTTGGCTCAGCAACGCCAAAAAGTTGAACATTATTTAGCAAGTATGCTTGATAAGGGTTATTTGGACCATTATGCAGTATTGTACATTTTGATGCATCAAGCTTCATGCACCACTCGTCCGTCCATATCTCAATTCGCCTCAGATCCCTGTTCAGGCATTCCCTTTGCAATAATTAATGGATTACAGAAAACCTTGGTATCGTCAGCAAAAAAAAAATAATGTTTGTCTATTTTTCCATGATATATCGCCCACATAAACCAAAAAGAGTAATAGTCCCGTGAATTTGGTAGAACTTTGTTGGTTAGCAGGAAGTCAGTCAGTTCTGTCGAGTTACTCTGCATATTTCCAAATTCCTGAAATTTTTCGCAAATCCATAAATTGTTGAAATATCTGTGGAAGATGCGGCTTGGCTTTCTTTGAATTTTTGTAGGAATACTGATGGAAAACCACTGAGCACATAAAGCCTTGTTTACTTTTTCTTCTGTAAATTGTATTCTGTCCACTGACTGCAGCACAAATAGTTCTGGCAGCGTTAGCAATCTGTACCTTACAAACAGTTGTCTACAAGAATCAAGATCTTACTGCCGTGCCGTCCTTTGAAGTACAAAGACTCCAACCCCTCGTACATAAACCCCAAAAACAAATTCCATATCGCAAATTAGTACTTAAACACTTCTCAATGTGCAAATTGACTAACTTTTCTTGGCTACTATCTTGGAGAATGAAGGTATTAAAGCTATGGGTCGGTAATTTGGAGGGAAATTCTGATCTCCACACTTATGGAGTGGAAGGATGGTTAGCCAACTTCAGACAAGCCGGAAATGAACTGGAAACAAAGGAAATATTTATAGATTCAGATTCCTCCAACACACCGAGCGCTGTGTCTGGAAGACAGGGAAAAAAATGTACAGACATATGATTCCAACCTGACGATCTTTGAGTTCCAAAATGTCAGCGTGGGTGCAATAAAAAATTTGGGAAAACGCGATCATCCAAATAGTCTGAAAGCTAATCTGGCAGTTGACAAGAGAGAATGACTGCAACAGAGCATTAAAATGAATTCAAATAATCAGGAGTGTGACTAAAAGAATCAACTTAATTTTTTGCGACATATACCTCTTATCTCATTCACAATATTTCACGTTTCCTTTGTAGGCCAGGAAAGAGAGGTTGAACCTCGCAAACTCGACACAAGGTCTGTTTTATTTTTTTCTGGTAGGACAAGGGCTGCTTATTATGGGTCTAACTTTTTCCAACAAAATTTCACTCTGGAACATCCCCTTTCATCCCCCAGAAGGTGGTTTGTTGTGGTTTTTCCGAGACGTAACGCTTCCGCTACGTTTTACAAAAAAATACCTTTATAGCAAATTAAAGAGGACTAAATTCTCTACAATTTATCCAGCGACAGCATATGTCTATCACCTACCCTTTAGTCGGGGTGGCGCTCTAAAGTTGAATGACCTTGAAAAAAGTTGTTTTGGAAATATTTTTTTTTTACTGAACAGTAAAGCAAATCTACCACAAACCATACAGCAAATACTCACAAATAACTGACCGATTTTTTAGTATATGTTTTATTTAAAAACAGTAACCCGTTTAAGATATACAGGGTGTTGAAATTTAAACAACCCCCTTTAATATCATCTGAAGGGCTGATGCTAGACTGTTCAAATTTTCAGGGATTATTGATGTAAAAATGATATTGAAAAATTCGTATAATGCACCCCTACTTTCTTCCTGGAACCACCCCAAAAAAAATTAAATTTGAATGCATTTTTTTCATTTTATTGCACACAGTGCTCTCCATGTGAATGATTCAAATATTATTTTGTGCACACCTCCAACATACATAGGTACATACACACCAGAAGCATTTTTCTAGTACAACCCCACTAGATGGAAAAAAAATACAGTGTGTCCACTTAAGTTCGCAGCATATTGTAAACTTTTTTATTATCAATTTTACGAAAAAAAGTTATTCTTTATAAAAGTTACTGCTTCTTGAAAAAATAATATTAAACTACTAATACTTGAAAAAGCATGTACAGGGTGGTCAAAAAATAGAAAAATATGCAGGGTGTTTCCCAAGTACTGTTCGTAACTTCAGGATGTGATTGCTTACAATATTTTAAAAAGAAAAGTTCCCATAAACATGTGTCCGGAAATGCGTAGTTTCTGAGATACAGGGAGTCAAAGTTTTAGAAAAAATCGTTTTTTTAGCTCAAAAATCCAATTCCAATTTTTTTTGACTCTAATATGACTTGCTGAATCTGAAAAAATATCAAAGGTATTAAAAAATAGTGACGTGCCATTTTTTTTCTTCTTTTACCAAAAAATTCTATATATTTTGTAGAAACTTTTATAGAGAATAACTTTTTTTCGTCAAATTGATAATAAAAAAGTTTCCCATATGCTGCGAACTTGAGTGGACACACTGTATATTAAGGGGTTTTGGCTTTTTGTTTCACATAGGTCAGTAGCACACTAAATAAGCTTTCCAAAAATATATCTATTTATTGCAACATCTCTTTGAAAACTACCCCTGCCCCTTAAAGAAGTTGTCGCAACCACTCTTTTGCGACTATTTTGTTACCTATGCATTGTATGGGAAGGAAATTTATACGAAATTGAAGACCACCATTTGCTCTACAAATAGGTTCCTAATGCATTTTTTTATATTTTGTAACCGTTACGCCACAGTGGCGTCCCAAAGCTTAGAAATTTTATAGCGAATTCCAGTTTTATTCCATTATCTCGTCACCTATTCACAGATTCAGCACCCCCCCAACCGAGGAGATGAGAGGAAAAAAATACATACATTAACGTGTAATAGGCCTACTGGGGACACCACAATAAAAAAACGCGCCTCTTGAGGTAGAGTACCTACATGGTTTCCACACCATCGTTGGGTGGTGTGGATTGTGGAAACGACTACAATATGTCGATGTCGCCACTGTATTTTATTGGTTGGAACATAGAGCTTAAATTGCATGAAATATAATTGATATATACGTAATACTGTTATCAATAAATCAAAGATAGGCCCTTATAACATGAGCTGAAGATCATTGACGAAAAAAAAACAAAAATGGAGTTTGCGTAACGTTTTCCGACATTTGGGCTACCGTTGTGGCTGAAAGGTGGCAAGAACGAAGTGCACAGGGTATAATTAGTAGACATTTCTGGTCTTCAATGTAGCAAATTAATTTTATCGATAAAATGTATAGGTGACGAGATAATGGAATAAAAATAGAATCCGCTTCTAAATTTTTGATTTTTGGGACGCCGCTGTAGCGTAGCGTTTGCAAATATTAAAGCAAATGCATCAAGACCCTATTCGTAGAGCATATTATGGTGGTCTTCAATTTCGTATAAATTTCCTTCCCATACAATGCATAAGTAACGAAATAATCGCTAAAGAGTGGTTGCGACAACTTCCATAAGGGGCAGGGATAGTTTCCAGAAGGATGTTGCAATAAGTAGATATATTTTTGGAAAGCTTATTTAGTGCGCTACTGACCTATATGAAACAAAAAGCCAAAAAAAAAAATTACCTCCTTAATATATTTTTTTCCGTCTGGTGGGGTTGTATTAGAAAAATGCTTTTGGTGTCTATGCATGTATGTCGGAGGTGTGCACAAAATATTATTTGAACCATTCACATGGAGGGCATTGTGTGCGAGAAAATAAAAAAAGGTATTTTTTTTCAATTTTTTATTTTTTTTGGGTGGTTTTAGGTAGAAAATTTCTTTCATTCTTATATCAATAATCCCTGAAAATTTGAACAGCCTAGCATTAGCCCTTCAGATGATATGAGAGGGGGTTGTTTAAATTTCAACACCCTGTATATCTTAAACGGGTTACAGTTTTTGAATAAAACATATACCAAAAAATCTGTCAATTATTTATGAGTATTTGCTGTTTGGTTTGTAGTGGATTCGCTTTACTGTTCAGTAAAAAAAAAATAATTTACAAAACATTTTTTTTCACGGTCATTCAACTTTAGAGCGCCACCCCGACTGAAGGGTAGGTGATAGACATATGCTGTCGCTGGATAAATTGTAGAGAATTTAGTCCTCTTTAATTTGCTAGGAAGGTATTTTTTTGTGAAACGTAGCGGAAGCGCTCGTTTCGGAAAAACCACAAAAAATGACCTTTAGGGGGATGAAACGGGATGTTCCAGGGTGACATTTTGTTGGAAAAAGTTAGATCCATTATAAGCAGCCCTTGTCCTACCAGAAAAAAAATAAAACAAAACATGTGTCGAGTTTGCGAGGTTCAACCTCTCCTTCCTGGACTATTGGAACGTTTGCACAATTCAGTAGGTTGGTTCTGCGTTTGCGCTAGTACAAAGCATACCATACTCGTTTGGCTCTCGTTAAAAAGTACCCATTCTTTGTGAAATATAGTGTTTAAATACAAAAGAAAAAGCTACTCACTTTAAACCAAGCCTGAAGAACGCCCAAATCCATTTTTCGCACGTCAGGAGGTCACAAGTAGGTGAATTATTACGTTTTATTGCTACTAACCTCGTAACCTCACTTTTCACTGGTCGAAATGTCAACACCGATGGAACTCCCGCCTACAATTTGTCCGGCCTGCAATAACCCAATCACTGATTTGGAAAACACGTGCGTTTGTTGTTGTATTTGTTTTCTACAAATTCACAAAAAAAACTGCAGCCAGTTGTTCGAAAATGGGAGCGGACAACCTGCATGGAAATGCCGGAATTGTATCGACACTACTGCCGAGCCGAACAATATTGCCATAACGGTTAACCACTTCCAGGCAATGATGAGACAAACCTCTGTCTAATATCAGTCCATGTCTCAACAGTTAGCTGGTGTCTCAAGCTCTGTCACCACTTGTAACACAAAAATCGAAAATCTAACCACCATGGTCTCCTCTCAAGGGGTCCTAATTTCTAATTGTGAACAGAAGATCCAAAACCTTCAATCTGAAAATGAACTACTCAAAAGCAGAATTCAGGATCTTGAGAAAAATTCGTCTGTAAACAATGTGGAGGAGTATCTCGCTGAAGCTGCTGATCGTGAAAGGCGCAAATTAAACCTTATTTTTGTCAATATCCCTGAATCCGACAACGATCCTGCAATGCTCCAAGAATTACTAACGAAAATGCTCCCTTCGCATTCTGTAATCTTTCGTCTTGCTACGAGACTTGGAAAGCTTGGTGCAAATAGACCCAGATTACTAAAAGTTTCATTTAACACTTTTGATCAGGCCTTGTTGGTTCTTAAAAATAAAGGTAATTTAGCTGAAATAGCTTGCTATAAGCAAGTTAGAATAAGGTCTGATCTTACAAAAACGGAAGCAGATAGGCTCTCGTCTCTGAGACAGGAACTTCAAGATCGTAAGTCCAATGGCGAGAACAATATAACAATAAAATATATAAAGAATGTGCCGCAACTAGTGCCTGTGGCTCCATCATCGAAAAGGGATAGAAATATTGCGTTTTCTCCAGAGTCCAGCTCAGCCTCTTCCAATAAGCTGCCGAAGGTGCAGTAGCAGCCAACAATTTTATTTTGGAACATGGACGGATACGCGAATATTGACTGTCTACTGGAAGGAACTAGCTTAACTTGTTTAACCGACATAGTGTGTCTATCCGAAACATGGTTAACTTCAAAACCTGAATTACCTACTTACTTGGCAAATGTTTATAATCTTGTTTATTCTAATGCTGTAAAAGAGGCATCACGAGGGCGAGCAAGCGGTGGCCTTTTGATCTTGCTTAAAAAATTTATGTCTTACGAAATCTTACAAACTTCAACCTGGTGGCTTATTCTTAAAATTTCGTTTGAAAATAGATGTTTTTTACTGGCATTTGTTTACTTAAGACCTAGTTTAGATCTTAATACTTTGTTAGAATTATTGCAGTTGGCTTTTGACGATGCGAGGGATGCTAGCCCGGACGTGGCTTTTTACATCTGTGGCGATTTTAATAGCCGAATTGGCAGTAGTAATACGCTGGATGAGGAAGCTTTGATGGGCTCGCGTCTCTTGCATCCCCGTACATCTTTAGATCTCTTAACTAATACCAGAGGGCGTTTACTGTTGGACTTCGTTACCATCAACAACCTAGCGGTAATAAATGGAAGAACAGTAAATGATTCTCCTGCACAATTCACTTTCAGTAATGCACGGGGAAACAGTACAATCGATTTATTTTTATCAAATGCTGAGGGTTTAAATTGTGTTGAGAACGCATTTCCCGGTTTGTGTCGAGTTAAATATTTTTAGAAGCAATATTAGAAATGTTCAAATTTCGCCTCCAATCGTGCAGTCGACACGCTCCCTTCAGTGGAAGGACGATCGCTTGGCTCGAAATACATATCAGCAGCATTTGCAGTTCTCACCACTAGTTATTCCTAATAATGATATTAATGGTTGTTTTTCAAATTTCTGCGCAGCCTTGAATAATGCGGCAGCGGCAGCGAATTTGATTGTGACGAGGTCCAACTCTGGTATGCCTATGCGAAAAGCTCGCCATAAACCATGGTACGACTATCAATGTTTAGATAGGAAAAAACTAGTACGTCAAAGTTTGAAAGAAGCAAAACTAAACAACTTTAGCCAGCTGTTTAGGGCAGTTTATTTCGAGCACAAGGCGGAGTACAAACGGCTCTTATCATGTAAGAAGCGCAACTACAACAAGTTGTTGTCCGAAACTTTTAGGAATACGCGCGACTCAAGGTCTTTTTGGGAAAATATAAAAAAATTAAAGGGTTTATCGGTTAGGTCTGACTTGAGCATTGAAACGTGGGAAGGTTTTTTTACCGGTGTTTATCACCACAGTGCTAAACTCGAACTGAACTTTTTCGGAACCTTTGACCCGCTATTGGATAAAATAGTCGAACTAAAAGAGCTTCAAATTGTCTTGCAGTCGTGTAAAAATAATAAAGCTCCTGGCAATGATCAAATCCCCTACGAGTTTTTAAAGAACCTGCCACAGAACTGGTTATTGTATTTGTGTACTTTGTTCTCAAATGTAATTAAATGTCACACTGTTCCGGACTCCTGGACAAAAGTAATTTTTTCAATGCTTTACAAAAAGGGCGAGCAACAAGACCCAAATAATTACAGGTCCATCGCTTTGGTTAGCTGCTGTTTGAAAGTTTTTACTCAAGTCTTGTTGAATAGGCTTCTGACCTGGCTAGATACCTATAATGTAATCCCTGAAAGTCAAAGTGGCTTTAGAAAGAATCGAGGGTGCACTGACAATGTTTTTGTACTTCATACTGTCATACAAAATCATCTAAGACTGAAGAGACGAAGGGTGTTTGCTGCCTTTATTGATTTCCGCAGAGCTTTTGACTCGATTTCACATAACCTACTGTGGCACAAAATGTACCAAGTAGGAATCAGTTCAAATCTCATAATGACCATAAAAGACCTTTACGATAAAGCCACGGTTCAGATAAGAGCAACCGAGGGATTAACAAGGCCCTTTCCCATTTCTTCTGGGGTCTTGCAGGGTGAAACTCTTAGTCCTACCCTGTTTAATATTTTTCTGTACGATATTGTCCAGTTTTTTCTGGATCGCGGGGTGGGGGGGTTGAGCATGGACGCTACTAACGATATAACTCTTCTACTGTATTGTGACGACCTTATACTACTCAGCGACTCGGAAATTGATTTACAGAAAAAACTAAATATACTTCAGCAATACGCCAGTGAAAACAATCTTATCATAAATTCAAACAAATCAAAAATAATGTGTTTCAACAGACCAGGACTGCCCTATACAGGTGGGTTCAAATTCTTATTTAATGGGGATCCTCTAGAAGTGGTAAACAAATTTGTCTATTTGGGAGTCGTGTTCACCCCATCGAACTGCTTTCGGATAATGACGGACAATACAATTTTACGTGCATGTCAAGCGGCAGGTGCGGTTATGTCACTAACATCTAAAATAAAATACAATTCATTTTCTGTTAATAAGAAGCTGTTTTCTGGTTCCGTTATGAACTCGTTTAGTAATTGTTTACCAGTCTGGGGGCCTCGATATGCTGATGTCCTGGAGAAGGTTCAGTCCTCGTTCTTTAAGTCCCTTTTAAGGCTCCCAAAGAATACCTCCCATGCCATAATTAGAGTTGAAACAGACAGTCTGCCTCTGTCGTATTTCGTGTTCAAGTCAACGCTAAACTATTTTATTAAACTATTAGGCATGGAGAATCACAGGTTGCCCAAAATTTGTCTAAATCGCCAGCTCAATTTATTTGGTGGTAGTGCCTCCCCTAAGTTTAATTGGGCTTACAGCTTTTACAGATGGTTTCAAGAAATCGGAATAACCCACTTGTGGTCTTTAAATAACATTTCTTTAAAACGTAGTAAACCAGAGATATTAAAACATTTTCGTGAAAGATGTTTGCAGACCGACTATCGAGTGGCACGAAATTCTACGTATACTTTGTTTTATAGTCAATTTGATTTAAATAAGCATTCGTTGAAGTACCTTTATTCTGACTGTGCTTTTTACATGATCAGAGTTATTACACAAATACGACTTTGTTCGAGTTATAACTGCAATATATTCTGGAATGGCATAGCTTATAGAATTAATCAAGAAGAACTCTGTTCGGTTTGTAACCTAAGAGTGCCTGAAACATTTCTTCACGTTCTCTTTGAATGTCCTTTATATCGTAGTGTTAGGCCGGCAGATTGGGGTGATATACCGAATTTTGCTCATAATTTGGACAATCTAAACCCTCAACTGGTGAGGGTTATTTTCCAAACCGTTACTAGTATTCTTAAACTTAGATCGTTCTTAAGAAATGAATAGACCTATTCTTTAGATTTTAATTTTATCTTCCTATTCTCCTCGTACCTGAATTATTATAGAGTATTATTTTTTGTTCTTTTTCATTTTCAAATTTGGGTTTACATATTTAAACGTGTAGCTTATAAGTATGAGAAATGTAGCATTACTTAGATTAAGTTTATTATTGTGCAGAACCTACTGTTATAAGAATGTATATTCTTTTTAAACAATAAAGAATTGATTGATTGATTGCAGTAGGTTGGTTGACACGGGTAGTGAAGCAAGCTCGTGGGTCACGCTTAAAGAAATGCGCTTGCCCGCAATCGTTTCCTGAAGGCATCCTGTGGTGTTTACACTGGGCACGGAGTTTTTTGTGTAGTCGTGCAAATGGCTTCGCTTTTGCTGAAGAAAAGTGCCAGTCTTCAATATGGCTTCATCGATAGAAGAAGGTTGTGCAGTAATATGCGAAATATTAGGACTGAAAATGGTTCGTGAAATACGTTTCATTTCCTGGTCTAACCATTTTGCTTTTTGATTGTGATTTTTCTCCTTTTCCCATATGTTTTGCCAGAATTTTCGTATTTCTTCATTCGATGGAATTTTTTCTACCTCGCTCTTCTCTTGTTTTAAATTTTGGTATAATGTCTTTGGGTCTTCTTCAAATTGTTTGTTTTGAATGTAAATGTAATCTTACGTTGTATCTTCGTAATCTTTGTGCTTGGGCTTGAATTTTCTGTTATATCTTTTCAATAGTTTCTTTCCTGGGTTTCTTTATTCATTATGTTGTGTTTTTCATATAACCTTTTTTTTATATTTTCATTCTTTCTTAATTGTTTCCGTGTGTAATTTCTATTATTTGTGATAATTCTTTTCTCGTGCGGGTTATTCATTCACTACGTTTTCATCTTGGTTGTGCATGATTTGTTATACTTTTTCTCTTCATTCTTGATGTCCAGAACTTTGCAAATGACTATTTCTGTCGCGTAAATTAGCTTATTAATTTTTGAGATATCCTGGTTTGCGTTTGGTTTAAGTAGTTCCCCTAGTGCGTTGTTGGCATTTTCAATTACTAGCTTTGATATTTGATTATCTTTTATCTTTGGCAGTTTTTTCCATGAGCAGTCTTCGCGCACTTTAAAGCTTCCCATGGTACTGTATGTTTCATGAGATATTATTTTTGGAGGTGTTAGCGGCTTCTATAAATATTTCTTTACATGACTCATGTTGATCTCTTTTTATTTCTTCTATAACGTCTCTGTTTGAATGGCGTCTTCATTTCCTTAAGTTTTTGTGTGGTTCCGGATTTGCTCGTTTATTTCATTCATTTCAATTTCTGTAAGTTTGTTTTGTTTTTGTATAAACCTTCTCTGCGCTGCCAGAGTATATGCTGTTATATTTGGTCTTTTATCTGAGTTCCTTTTTCTCCATAGTTCATAGTTGTCTTTTATGCCTTTTGTTCCCACAGTTTCTTGCAGAAAACAATA